AAGGCGTTGTTAGGTTTCTTTCGTAATTATCTACATAATACTTTCAGAAATTGCTGTGGTAAAATGTTGTGGATGGCTATGCCTCATATTTAATATAATCAGCTCTACGTATGAGCTCGTGCGGTACGTATATAAACGTGGAGCAGTGAGATCGTTCAACTCGCATCGTGCAGCGGCACGCACAATAGCAATTAGCAACATTTTATACATATATAGACATGATAAATATACATAAACAATGCTCGCAGAGGCGACTGATTGACTCGTGGGAAGAATTGGCTTGTGCGCGTAAGATGTAGCAGAAAGAGCATTAACAGCCTGAAAATACACGAGAGGTTCTAATGGGAAAGTGAATTCGATAGATACAGTGCATACATGCGTACATTAAAATTTTCAACCATTTTGAATATATTTCAATATCAAACTCAAAATCAAATTTTCAGAAAAAAACTTCAAAGTGATCTTAGCACTCAAGAAGCTTGTATCGGTATAAAGTAACGCAAAAATTAAAATTTAATAGAGTTCGACTTGGACTTCCATCTCCTAAAAATTTGTAGAGTTTTTTAGAATTTACGCTTCTATCTGATAAATTTTTTTAATGGGCCTTTAAGTTTAAACTGCCTGAAAAGTCCAGAAGTATCAAAAAAGGCATACAAACGTTGAAAAAAGCGGTTTTTGTTGAATTTCTGCGTGGTGAGCTTTTTACATGTATTCTGAAAATTCTCTATGCTGAGCTAGGATTTTCAACCAAAGGATTTTAAATACGTGAAATAATCATGAATTACAGAAAAATGTTAACTTTTGGGCCCTGAAGAGGGTGCTAGTTGTTTTTAAAAATTCTGATAAAATTTGGGGACATTTTTGACATCGAAAACAACCAATTTTTCATGTTTGCAGAAAATTTGTTTTTTAGACATTCGACTTCAGTGAAAATTGGCCATATAGATAGATTAACCATTAATTCTACATAAGGCTAAATAAATCGTAGCCTTAACGCAATAACCGGCTTAATAAACTTGGAAAAATTGTTACACTCATGGTATTGAAATTTTGATTGTAATTTAACCTAATAATTTTTCATATAATTATATGCAAATCTCATCACATGAATCATCGTTAATCTGTAGATAGAGTGCCAATTATATTTGCAAAAGCAAACAATTTGATATATCTCAAATAATTTATCATTTGAATACTTTTGGACAAGGTGATCTGTGTACAGAAACTAAAAGTTTGTCCTAGAAACTTATATGACGGTCAAGGCTTATGAAAAGAAATTTAGCTGGGAGCAGCGCTTTAGTTTAGTCTTTTTATTACCACAGATACTTCTGCTCTTTCTTATACTGCTGTTTCTACACAGTCTGCTACTACTGACCCTAATATTAATATGCATAAAGCAAGTACACATCTTTAGGCAGTATATTTCTGTAAGACAAGGAGTAAAGAACCGCGAAATAAAAGAAGGAATTTTTCATGAGCAATTCGAGTTTTCAAAAATCTCCCTTAAAAACTTGAGCAACGCTTTACACTCGGTATTTTTACGAGAGTAGTAAAGTCAAATACAACTTTTTACCAAGTAGCATAATGGGGAAATCAATACAAAAAACAAGAAAAATTCATTGAAAACCATGTTTTAAGGGTTTATACACACCTTGAACTTGAAATTTTTATTGAATTTCGAGTAGGATTTCGCCTCCCCTTTCTATTGCATTTTTCGAAATTCCAAAATTTTTATTTTGCACTGAGATACAGCAGTTTCCGTGAGCCTTTTTCCCATACTTTACGTGTTAAACTTTTTCTTCTTTTGCCTTTTCTAGCGAGTAGTATTTTTGGTCGTCTGTCGTAACTTTCAGAGGGTACCGATTGAGCTTCAGCACCAGAGTGCTTACACTTCTTCAGAACATCAATGGTTACGGTCACTACCTCAAATGAGACGATTGAACTAATAGGTTTCTCTGAAACAGTACTTTTATGACTTAAATTTCGGTAAAAACGAAAATTGAAAAAAAAATGTGTTTAACTATTCATGCAGAGCAATCTGCCTGTTCCATCGGACCATCCGGAGTAGTGACCGCAACAATTGATGTTCTGAAGAAGTGTAAGCACCCTGTTGCTAAAGCTGCATGGGCGCTCTCTAAAAGTTACGACAGATGACTAAAAATACTACACATCAATAAACGCAAAAGAAGAAAAAATTTAACACGTAAAGTATAGGAATAAGGTTCACAGAAACAGTTGCATCTCAGTGCAAAATGAAAATTTTGGAGTTTCAAAAAATGCCATAAAAAGGGGAGAAAAAATCTTACTCAAAAATCCAATAAAAAAAAAATTCTGAGTTTAAGGTGTATGTGTCCCCTTGACTGCACCATTGTAGGGGACTCTTCCCTATTCTTCAAATGACTATTAATTATGCACTGAAAGCGAGTTTGTATGGCTACCGTACTTCAAGTACAGGTAAACTGCTCACAAAAACTCCTCACTGATAGTCCCGGCACAAAGCATTCTCCGGCGTTTTTTTAATGTAGTGCTACTTTTGTAACTCGCCATGTTCGACGTATATGGGGCTGGAAAAATATTCTACATAAGCATTTCAATAGATTTTTGTCTGCCCTTTCCGATGGGATCATTAGTATTTCGAAAAAAAATTAATTTTCGCTGAGGAAATATACTTTGAAGTTGACTTGATTTTTCGATACGTACATCCCTTTCTATCTTGTTCGTAGCTATTGCGATCGAAAGATAATCTAATAACGAAACTTTTTGCGAAATTTCAAGATGGAGACTCAAATTGTTCAAAAGATATTAACAATTAAGTAGCGAAAATCGTGGCACGCCAGTATAAAATATATATATTCTGCTAAATATATGGGCTATATTGCGTCAACTGTCGCCCCCCCCCCGTCCTCTTGGATCAGAGTTGAAATTTGAATTTTCATATTTTATTCTGCTTCCCAAGGGTGAATATGAAAAAATTGTTGAAACATGATTTTTTAGGTAAAATTTGATGAGGAATTCAAATTTGTCATCCAAAATCGTATTCATAACCTCAAAATTCCTAAATTTCCAAAAAATCAGTCTCAAGTCCAAAAATAAACATGTTCGTATCCAGCGATGAGGTCAATATTGTAATATGTTCATCGATACATCAAAATACAACTTCTGATAGATTTTGGTCATCGTCAGACAAACAGACTTCATTATTGAGCATCACATGAGCCAAGAATCAAGAAAAATTAGAGGAAACCCATTTTTTATTGACTCATATGATACTCAATAATGAAGTCTGTTTGTCTGTCGATGAACAAAATTTATGAGAAGTTGCAGTTTAATGTATCGATGAACATATTACAATATTGACCTCATCGCTGGATACGAACATGTTTATTTTTGGCCTTGAGACTGATTTTTGATAATTTAGGGATTTTGAGGTTATGAATACGATTTTGGATGACAAAATTGAATTCCCCATCAAATTTTACATAAAAAATCATGTTTCAACAATTTTTTCATATTCACCCTTGGGAAGCAGAATACATAAAATATGAAAAATCAAATATCAACTCTGATCCAGGAGGGGGGGGGGGCAGTTGACGCAATATAGCCCATATACATTCATTAGAATGAGTGACGGAAAAATATTTAAAAATTGAACTTGTTATGCTTAATACGTATGACATATTTGTAAAGGATCAGAGTTTTGGGGTCAGCAAGAATTTTTCTCAAATATTTAGAGGCAAGGACGAAATAGTAGATAATACTAGTAGATATTAGCAGTCTAGAGAAGAGCTCCGTTAGTATTTATACATTCTCTGTGGCTTTTTTTTTGTAGGTGAGTATACTATTTTTTTTTTGAATCCACTAGCAGAAATTTATTTTTTTTGTTTTGGTCAAAGGGTGGAAAAGGTTAGTTTCGGCTGGTTATACGCTGATGATATCTTTATATCAATATATAACAACTTTCTGCTTAAATTTGATGTTTCATCAAACCCTCGAAAAAGTGAAGGAATATTGACGATAAAGATGTTACCAAAAACATAGTCCAGCCCCTCAACGTTTCGCACATTTGCATTTCTAGAAAAGTGGAGTGACTTATAATAAAGAGAATTTTTGCATTTTATGGAAATTTGAAAATGCATAATTATACATTTGAAGGCGAGGTAAAAAAATGCATCAATAGATATAATTATTCCCTCAATGAGTGAGAAATAAATTATAGTCATTAGTTAGTAATTCAGGAATTATTCAATTTCTTGTACCTGCCATGTTTAAGAAAGCGGGCTAATTTCTAAAATAACTTCGTAAAATGAACCAACATCGAAAAGTACTTCTAGTTTTCGAAAGTAGAATTTATTGTTTTTTTGGGACGTTTAAAAAATATTTTGTATGATTTTAAGTACGGTAAAACTTTGAATGGCCATAAAAATGAACTATTAACTTTTAGACGGAATGGTTCGTTTTTTATAATAAGGATCACATTTATAATCGACCTGTATCATTTTTATTCAAGAAAAATTTTTCTATTTTTTTTTTTTTTTTTTTTTTTTTTTTTTTTTTTTTTTTTTTTTTTTTTTTTTTTTTTTTTTTTTTTTTTTTTTTTTTTTTTTTTTTTTTTTTTTTTTTTTTTTTTTTTTTTTTTTTTTTTTTTTTTTTTTTTTTTTTTTTTTTTTTTTTTTTTTTTTTTTTTTTTTTTTTTTTTTTTTTTTTTTTTTTTTTTTTTTTTTTTTTTTTTTTTTTTTTTTTTTTTTTTTTTTTTTTTTTTTTTTTTTTTTTTTTTTTTTTTTTTTTTTTTTTTTTTTTTTTTTTACAAATTTTAGCGAAAGGCAGAATTTTTCGGCATTCATTTCAATAATAAGGTATGTATTTTTATGATTGACTTTATGGTTAAAATCAGACGTGTCACGAAGATACCCTATTGCTATATGACTATCAAATTTTATTGAGGTCATGCCTAGAGAATTGCATAACAATTAAAATTCGCTTGTTCAAAATTGACAACTCACCTTTGACGGTAGTAGTAACATTTACAGCTACCTCCTTAGTAGTCGCGGTAGGTCCATGTGCGAGAAAATCACTGAGCGATAATGATGAAGCTATTATTTGTCTTTTTTCTTCAAAATTCAAATAATCTAGGCTATTACTGCGCTGAGGCGTGGGTGCAACGATAGTGACGGTTTTGGTTCTCGGGCAGAAGGGTTGATTTCCAAATCGTACGTGGGGAGGAAACGGGTCGTGATCTTGTAAGGGAGGGCTAGGCTCCTCGCCCGGTTTGTATATTTTTGGAGGTAGGAGATAAACGCCACCTATGCATATCGGCAGCATAACGTCAGGTTTATCCATCGCAGCTTAATGTTTTTTTTTGTCTTCTGCACTTTTTTTTCTACTCCTGGCATTCTGCTTTGTTTTGTTCAAATTTATTAGATGAGCAATACATCATTATTCTTCTAATATCTGCTACTGGACGGAGATATTTTCTTATTTGTTTTGAACGTAACGAGTAGAAAACCATTCGGACAAGTGCATCAACCGTGAAGTTTGACTCTGCGTTATATAAATTATCAATGTAGTCTTAAATGTATGAAATGAGTTTACAAATTTTAGATATAAAAGAGAAATTAGTCACTCGTTTCGTTGTCGTTAGATAAATAATAGACAAATTTAAGTTGAAATTTTAGTAAGAAGCTAAGAAAATTATTTTCTTCTTCTCATTCAATCTGTGTTCGAAATGACTCAAGTTTTTTCAATATAAATAACGCTATTTAATTAAATTTAAATTAAGCGTAAGTTATAGCAATTTACGCTCCATGTGAAATTTGAGTATGCTTGATTCTTTCTCTTTTATTGTACGAGTGACGTTATCATCCTTGAAAAAATACATTTTTAATTCAAATTATTAAAAAAAATTCATTGTAATGGGATAATTTTGTAATAAAATATATTTTAACTGCAGAAAAATTCTAATTCAAATTCTAACCGTATGTTTACCTCATTTCGAAAATTTACAATCCATAAAATTGCATTTAAATTGTTTGAATAGTAGCAAGTTGATTTTCAAGTAAAAGTGAGAGTATTTCTACACATTTATTATTGCATCAATTTATAGATGCGAAGTAGTTAGACGACTTTTTCATCGTGAATACATCTTAAACCTGCAGTTTCATTCTTCAAACGATAAAACAAGGTGTTTTACTATGGCTCTGATTATCGCAACCTGGTAAGGAAAACTTCTAACGACAGCGTCCTAACAACTTTCGGTGCACATGATTCGAAAAAAGAATTTCGATTAGTTAAACGAGTACTGGATACTACTTTTTAAATATGCCTTTCAAAAAATATCCGTTTTTTACGCGTGTACATCACAGAATAGACATATGTATTTTGCGTAAGGCATAACTTACAAACCTCTTTTTTTCTATTTTATTAGATGCACAAATACTGTTTCATTTTTTTTTCGTTGAAAGTACTACATCTATAGCCGGCTCATGAAAAATACTTGTTACAACAACGACAACATCTTTAACGACAACGACACGACGTGACATTTGTTCTCTTTCTTATCATTCCCAGCAACTCGCCAACTTTGAGTTTAATCAGTAGGTTAATTTCAGATAATTATCATGCTCTATCTTATTTATTCTCAAAGTACACATTCCAAAGTCTCTTTACATGATGCAGTTGGTTACACAGTATTATTAAGCGGTAAGGACAGTCTTAGTATACTCATGTGTACATCCTCTTTTTTTTGTCGTTTATTTTTTTCTCTCTTTTCTTCGACTTGTTTACCACATTTGCCCAACGCAACAACACCATGTAATTTTTAGACGTAGAGTATACCTAAACGACAATCCGAAGACTGTTCAAATTGTTTCGCATGCACAGTGATAAGAGACGAGAAATCGGAGTATTTGTTAAATACATGTGATTAACAAGAAAAATCGTTTGTACTGAGAAATTTATAGCTGCGGTTATAGTAAAAACTGTGGTTAAATTGCTTGTCAAAAGGAGATTAGAATACTTGTGCTATGAAAACACAAGAGGGGATATCGAAAGATCACACCACTATTAAAGAAGTGAATGCATGTGATTTATCAATACTTGCAGCTGTCAATTTAGAGTTAGCCGTTTTTCTTAAAATTTTTGGAATTACTATCTCAATTGGTAAAAAAGTTAAGGCTATTTGTACTGAAATGTTATCGAGGCTGCTAATAATAAAATACGTAACAATCCTATAATCATTCTATAATAAATTTACATACCAGCGACACGAAAGTAGCATTTCTCAGCCGCTGCGCTAAACGGAATATTGCCATTTTCGGGCCAAGGTGTATGTAAAATACTGGCCTATACCGGGAAAAAAGAAAAGAAAGCCCAAGTGCACGTGCTAATCGACCTCAGCTTCGCCTCTGCCGCTTATTTCCAGTGCCCTGACTTACAGAATAACATTACAGAAATAGTGAAATACTTTGGGAAATTCTTGGCATAGTTTTAATGAATCAATACATGTAGAAATATTGAATAAAAATCAATAAATTAATTATCATTCGTAGTTTGTGTTTACCACACGTTAAGGTTGACTCGGAAATCTCGTATCATTCGAAACTTGTTGGAAGAAGCGAAAAGAGGGACATAAAATCGGTCAAAGCCTAAGCTCGAAAACACTCAGGGATTATAAATTTTGGAACATCCTGAGGCCACCCGCGTAGTCGAAAGCGCGTTAGTATATCAAAGCAGTGTAGAGGGCTGTGAATCGTATAATAATCCATAAAAAAAGGAGGAGGGAGCGAGACAAGATGAGCTGTCGGTCCAGCGTGTTTCTGCTGCATGTAAAAAAAGTATATATACATAATATATAGGAATGGGCGAGGTGGGCGCTGCGCAGACGCCGAAATGGCAGTCGCCGGTAAATATTTCGGAACGAGAGCGTTAGAGAACACTGACTACGAATGACGGACAACAGAGAGTGAAGGAAAGGCAGGCGTAAATTGACAAGATCGTTGCACTTATATACAGATTTTGATGTGCAATTCAACGCAGAGAAACCAGCATTGTTTTTTTTCTTTCTCTAAGGCGATTTTGTCTCATTTTTATATGAGCACGCAGACGATATAGAGCGTATGGCTGATGCAAATGCAATAGATAAATCGATTAAATTAGCAACGTCATCTCAATTTTTTGTCTTGACTTTGATGCCCGAGACTTGGTTCTCATACAGATGAACAAACACAAGATCTAGAGATCTAGAGAAAAGAGGACACACTTTATAAGTGACGGCGAGTCGCTGGGCACGACTAGAAGAAAATAGACTTACACATCCACAAGTACACCTACGACACTCGCATAGCGCCGCAATGCACACAAAAGGCCTCGCAGCGGTAACTGAACTATGATTGACCACTGTGTGCGTAGCGTGTATATATATATACACATACACACTCACACGCAGATACGCCAGAAGTACACGATGCGATGATGATGCTCTTACGCGTTTACTTTTGCTAAATATGTTTTGCTGCTGCTGCTGCTGCTGTTGCTCCGGCTGCTAGAACCTGACACACAACAACACTTTACCTCGCTCGCTACAACAAGCCACACACTATATTATTATGCATACGCACGGAGTGATATGCGTATATGTATGCTGCTAAGAATCTTCATCTGCTGCCACTCGATGCACACGACGCAAATTCGATCTGGACATGCCAGAAAACCCACTATATTATTACACTCGGCGACTCAATGCCGTTCAACTCAAACGTATGCAGCAAAACTGGCTTCGATTCTTTTTTTACTTTATATATATATTATATATATATAATATATATATGTACATTTATATTCTCCAAAATTAACAACGAATAATGAAACTTTAATACACTGCTGCACATACGACGACGTCAAAACACGGGAATTTTCATGCTACATAATACGTAATATTGTAAATGTAGTAGCCTAGGAGCATAGGATATTTCTTTTTGCGTGCATGCACACGTTCAACACACTCACGCACACACACATACACTCACTTGCACGATGTAATCATACGCACTCGATTGGTATTTAAATGCAAAGGGCGTCACTTTTTAAATGTCCAAGAAGCCTCACTAAATTCGAGCGCGCTTGGCCGCGCTCATATTCACAAACATTAAAAAAACGTAAATAATGCTCAACGGCGCAAAGATGAAAAGCACGCTCAGCACATAACACTATAAGCAACAATCGTTTGTGTACAAGCCAGAGGCCGTCGCGAGCAATACTGACTGGCTAAAAGGCTCCACTATACTGCTCCACGAAACATATACGCACATTGCAAAGACAGGCCGAGGAACAGAAACAAACTAAGACATACGGCGGAATAAAGAGAGAGACAAAGATATAGAGAAAGAGCGGTTGATATGGTTATGCAGACTTATAAGTTAGGGAGTTCGTCGCTTCGAGAGAACAAACAGGACAGAAACATCAGAGCAATGCGAGTTTTGCGCCATCTATTGGCATTTCAAGTTATGGATCAAGCCGGTACAAAAGGTTGCATATTTACAATTATAATAAATGTATTGAATTTGTAATTTTAACATTTGTTAGTTTTGCGTGTAATAAAATCAAATTGTCGATAGTGGTCACTTAAAAGTACTGATAAAAAGAATAGTTTCTTTTATAACAGGTGAAATATCATGAAAAAATATTTCACATCATGTAAGAATAAAAAAAAATTATAAGTTTACTGTCAGCAGATGTAGTCGTGGTCGACTTTACTGCAATTGAATGTATTTATTCATAAGAAATATCGTTTTTTTAATCAGTAATTGTAAAGTTTTCTTCATCATACCTAAATAGAGGGTAAATCAATCAATTTCTATTGAAAAAATAGACGTTTTCAACGAAATTCGAATGACTCATTTACACGAAAAGTAAACAATCTTAAAAATCACAGGTCAAGATAAGATCATCAGATCAAGTTTCATAAGACTTTGTCTTATAGCAATGTATATTATTAAGTAAGATTTTATAGATTACAAATTTAAATTTGTTTGTGATTATGTATTGGAATATAGTTATAGATTATTTATGAAAAATAATGATGTCATTAGCACAGCTTTGTGCGTGGCCATATACAATTTTTTTTATTCCTTTGCAATTTTTTAATTAATTAATCATAAAAAATGTAGTTCAACAATATTATTTTCTACTTACAGTACAAAGAAAAACATAGCTCGCACTTTCTAACTCACCTGAAACATAGAATTGAAAATATTTTTTAAGCATAATATTTTTTTGTAGAAAACAAGTTTATAATAGAAATTTATAATTGAAGGACTTGAAAACGAGAAAAATTTCATTAAATTTTTTTAAAAAATATTTTTTTTCTCCTTTCAAAGAAATTTTTAAAAATTTCAAAATTATGATTTTTTACTAAAAAAACAATCTTTTCAGCGAACTATTGGAAAAATTAGATTTATCGTTTTTTAGCAAACTATTGGAAAAATTAGAATAAAATCAGCCATACCCTATTCTCTAGTCCTTATCGAAATGAACATTAAATGCATAGACTACTTATTTAATGTATTGAATATTTATTTAAGGGCTCGAAGGGGATTGAAATCGAAAAAAATTTTACTTTATTTTGGAGTAGGATTTGTTGTGCATTTTTCGTTGCCTTTTTCAAAACTCCAAAATTATTGTTCACTGAAATATAGCTATTTCCAAGAGCCTTCTTTTATAATTTACGCGTTAAATTTTTTCTTTTTTAGCGTTTCCTATCGAGTTGTGTTTTTGATCACCTGTCGTAATTTTCAGAGCGTATAAAATGTTAAAAACAAATCCTAAAAAATTAACACCTGTTCTCTGAACGATTTTAAACACTTTTTATTTTATAACATTTTTTCATAAAGTTGATGGTGGTCGAATTAAAAATCTATATGAAATTTTATGACACCGTCCCGTTTAAGTTCGTCATTTTGGAAATACAAGAGCTATATAAAAATCGCAAATGCGTTTTTCTTGAAAGTTTGTAGCAAAATTATACCACTCATGGTTTCATTTCAAGCCATCTGAAGACAAGAAAAGGTAGAAAATTGACTGAAAACAAATTTGAAGTCAAAAAATTAAGTTTTCATTTGGGTAATAATAAAAGGAACAATAATAATATTTATTTATAGCAAAATTAACACCAGATTCTGAAACGACGTACCCAAAAATCTCTCGAAATTGTAAGATAGAATATTGGCTACATCTACGGTTTTCATACGATTCAAAATTTGCTCGAAAAATTGCAAATTTGGGTTTTAATGGGTTAAGGCAGTGACTATGGCCAAAGGTCGAACAAAATGAAACCTCATACCGAACTAAATGGATTCATTGACTTAAAATTTTACGACAAATACTAAGCGTCGATGGTCTATAATCTCTCAGCAATCTATTTAACTATTTTCATGTATTAACTAGATAAAGTACTTTCAAAATGGGTATTGAAAAAAGCTATTTTGTCGATTCTTTAAAAAAAATTTTTACCTGTTATAGCCTAATATAATGATAAGAATTAACAAAATTTAAGTAAGAATTTTTATTCGAAACCAAATAGAAATAAATTCGAAATGGAATGAGAAAATTATTGCCGAATCTTTCAAATAAAATTAATACCAAGTTCTATGCTGAATAAAACTGATTCATATACAGGACGCAAAAAAGACTCTTGGATAATTATTTATTTGCAATATCAGCGAACAGATACAAAAAGTGTAATATATTTTGCAAATGTGCAATATAAAATGTTTTTATACTAAAGTTATTTTTCACAGATATCGATGACTTATATAGTGTGCATTTTTGTGAACCTATTGAAAAAGAGTATAAGCACGATTGACTAACGCTTTGTATATTCTATTATTGGAAAAAAGTCGAAGAACACTAGTGCAACATGATAGACGTCAGAAATAGGGAAAATTATGTAAACATTCAAGTTGAGCAGCTGTAAAAGACACATACATGATAAAAATAAAATTGAACACGTGTATGTATTCAATATTATAAGTTATACTGCAAATGTATTACAATAGCTTTTACCTTGTTCTAATTATGCAAAATAACTGACTCTTCTACCAAGCCCTATGCATGGCAAATATTGAACATTGTATCATTTTTAATACAGCCTTTCTTCAACCTACATTGATTATGTCATTTGCGTATAGTTTGCATGAAAATACTTGTAAAGCATCAATCATTAACTATTATGTCTCAAATTATTGAGAATTGTGCACAACTTGTGCATAACAAGCTTCAGCCTCATAGTAACACATTGACCATTTCACGCAACTATCTTAAGAGTAATCTTTAAATTTTTATTGTCAAAATGATAAAAGTAATAGATTTATCACGATTTCACTGATCGATGCTGACGTCTTATACAATAAAAACGAATAAATATTAATGATTCAATATAAATGATTCAATTTTATTAATTCTGAGAGAATTGAGGGTAGCTTAAAGATTGTTTATCGTATATTTCTTGTGTCATCAATGAATTATTTCAAACTTTATTCGTATCTTTCTATGAGATTTATGGCATTATCATTTTATTGAAAAAATGAGTTTGAATTTGTTAAAAAAAAGTATTTATATGTTCATTTTGATTGCTTTTTTTCAAAAATCTAGTTTGTCGATGAAGTTTCTATTGTCGAAGTGGTTAGTCACGACGACACACGTGATAACGTAATTTTACAGAAAGAAAGTTGCAAGAAAGTGGTTCTGCCAAAAATGTTCAACAAAACTATATTATTTAAACATTGCTATTAAGTTTCGATTTTATGTAAAAAATAAATTCAAACTTGAGCTAAAATAGGGGTATTTAGTTATTAGCACGTGCTGAAACTCAAAATAACCGCAATCAATTTTCAAAAAATTTAACGAAAAAGTCGTTGAATTAAATTTGTCGTCAATTGGAATAAAAGGGCACAGGTTTTGATGTTTGAAAAAATTACTTAGACGGAAAAACGCAAAGAACAAAAAATTTTTAATTATTCAAAAAATACTTATGAAATTTTTTAGATTTTTTCCGAGAGATTTTGAAAAAAGTCAATGAAAGATTTTGGTTTTTTGAGTTGCAACGCGTATTAACTATTAGTTTTCGAATCCATCGTCGCCCATCGTTGATCGCTTTAATATACCGTAAAATGTAATGAATTAATTATGTTTTTAATTGAATAATAATTAAAATTTTGAAAACTCGAAAATGAAGCCCCAAGCGGGAAAAAATTATGCTTAAAAACGTTTCCAAATTTTTCAGAACTTTTCAAGACATTTTCATTTCCATGAATCTTGCCATTTTAAAAAAAATCGATTAATTTTCTCAGAACATTTTAAAAAAATTCTAGGGTGATCTTTGAACAATTCTAAAACTTTTTTGAGGATCTTATGGTATCGGAAATTATTATTTTAATATTTGTTTGATTCTTTTTCACAAATTTACAATACTGGAAAAATTTGTGAAATTTCGTTGATTTAGCCGAAAACCAGCCAAGTAAACTTATACTTTCAACTTTATATTACTAATTTTTTGAAGAGCTGAATGATATATATTTTGAGAGTTATTAAATAAGAAGCATCCAAAAGTAGATGCGCGCCCATACACGCCGTGCAGGGAGGTTGTTGAATTACCCTTTAACGGTCTCCGAAAATTTCAAGACCCTGTATGAAAAACAGTTTAGGCAAAGAGTCACCTTAAGTATTGGCACGGCGCTACCTTCGTAGCACAATAATAGGCTACTTAATTAACCAGTATTGTATTGGTCATTTATAGTACTATCCTAATTCCTAACATATGTTCAAATTTTATGTCCCCTTTTCTGTGATATAAGTTGGACTTTCTGGTGTGACGGAATAAGGTTAACGCACATGTGTAATGAGTGCAATGTAAACAGGACTATAATTAAGTTCGGAAAACTTTCGAATAAAAATTAATATGCCTGAAATTAAATAAATATTTCCTGAAAAAGTTGAATTAATTTAAATCAATATAAATTGCGCACAACGCATTGATTTTTAACAGTGTATCTGAGGTACGGTATTTGTTATCTGTAGATAAGCATTCGTAGCAGTGTCTTATCTGGTCTGGTTAGTTTTACGATCATAAGTTTTTACAGGAAAGATGTAGAACTTAGTCACTAGCCATTTATGGAAACGAAAATGTTTCCACGAGGTTCACTTTTTCTGGGCTTTTTAAAAAAGCAGTGGATAAAGATTTTGGTCTTAACTTGTAGTTTCTACATATTTTACAAATTTCTTTGTCATCAAAAGGTACGAAAAATCAAATATGAGTACTTTAAAATATACATTATTTTAAAAAATTGTTTTTTTAAAGTACAAAAAACATGTACAATGGATTCATGATAAACAAACGATTCAGTTATACTTACTCGAAAAAATGACTCGACTTGTTGAATCAGAATCAAATATGAGTGATTCTTGGAAAGCTCCTACAGGCATGGATTATTTAATATTTTCGGCTTATACAGATCTGAGACCAGAAGTCATTCTCGATAAAGTTCCCGAAGCACAAAACGAAAACACCTGGGCGATGGTAATTATTTCCGTTAAAATTTCAATGAAATGTTGTAATTTAGAATTAATATGTTTGTCAGGTAAGAATCATCGGAATAGTGCCGGTCAAATCCAAAAATTTGCCAACAAGATGTTTATACAAATTTTCTTCTAGTTTTTGGACATCTGATGCAAACGATTCTATAATTTTAGAATCTCCCGCGATAGCTGTTGATATCGTAGCAGATATTGAAAATTTTGGAATGTCATATTCAGCAGCTTTTATACTTTGTAAATTAATCAAATCAAACGATGAAAGTTTACCTACTCAAGTCACTTTTCTCATGTCTGATGAAGAGCTTTTAGAAAAATCAGATCCAAAAATTAATTTTGTCAGTATCAAATATGCAACCAGAACGCTAAGTTCATATCAGAAACGATTTATGGCTGTTTGTGTTCCAAGTTTACATCACAATTATGATAAATATTTAAATTTAATTGAATTTATCGAATTTTATCGAATGATGGGGGTAAATCATTTTACCTTTTATAATACTTCAGTTACAAAGGAAGTGAGTTATGTGTTAGCTTACTACAGGGACGAGGGTTTTATAACAGTATTGCCATGGAAAATCCCTCCCAAATACGAGTTTGAAAGAGATTTAAGGTTTAAATCATTAAAACTAATTATATTTATGATAGTGAGTACTAATTTATACTCCATAAGTTTTATTCTGAAATTTTAGGTACAATGGAATATTCGCAGCACTTAATGACTGTTTGTACAGAAGTAGTATGATTGAAGACTATAAATACATTGCTAATGTTGATCTTGATGAATTCATTGTACCAAGAAAATACGAAAATTATCAAAGTATGATGAGACAATTAGATCCGGAATCTGATAATCGGAATGCAGTGTTTATTTTTCGGAACAAGTTTTTCTATTTAATGAATAAAGATAATCCTGTTCGAATAACGCCTCAAGGTATTTGAAATTTTTAGAGAAACATGAAAAATCTTATAAATATGTCGTATTTATTAATTTCACTTAGATTATCCTAAATTATTACTTGAAACAAAAATTTTGAGATGGTCTCGTATCAATGAAGCATACGATCGAAGTAAATACATTACAAGAGGATTAGATACAATAGAGTTAGGAAATCATAAAGTTATAAAGACCAGAAAAACTTCTACGATATTAGGTTCTGGTAAAATGATATATTTCGTTTTATAGATGTTAATTTATATTTATTAAAATATACATTTATCTATTATTTTTTCAGAGTTCAAAGAACTTATTATTGAACCCGAAATTGCAGGACTTCATCATTACCGATATTGTGAAGTAAACGAATTAGTGTGTTATTTACGAGGAACTGAATTAGACAAGTCTGCTTTAAAACATGTCCTTCCATTAGGAAAAAGAGTGAATGCAATTTACAATAAACTATTCCACCAATTAAAAAAATGAAAATAAATGATAAAAGAAGTATTGAATGTTATTGGGCTTTAGTCTCTAAAAGTCTCTAAAATTATGTTTCACATTAGTTGTGAATAAAAGAATGATTTTTGTCGAAAAATTGATGCACCATGCACAATAAGTTACCCACTTTTTTACCAGCACAATTTTTTACATTATAGGTTCTGCGTAAGTTTTCATTTAACAATTTTTCGCCATTAATATTGAATAAAAAAGGGTCTGTCGTTGTGCATATCTCATTGTTCAAATGGTTACAAGGCTTTTAAGAATTACATGGGATCGGTTAATTTTATGATTGTGGTATAGTTGTCTTATCATATAAAAAAGCATGAGTTAAGGCATTGTTTTAAAATCATTATTTTTATAATATACTTATTAGCATTAAATTAACTGCAATATAGCAATTATACAAGGTCTTGAAATTAGATCATAATATTGAAGGTGCAAATAATTGAATAAGTTTGAATGAATTTTCGATACTTTTTATAAATTTAAATAAAAAACTCGAGAGAATACTTTGTAATACAGGTATGCAGGCAAGCTAAAGAACAAGCCAACAGGCGAGTTTGCCAATAAAAATATCGAATGTGTTTTTTCTTTTGGGTTTATTTTTTACCTTGTGTGTAAAGTGGAAATTCTCCGTCGCTGTGACTGTGCGTCAGCATTCCTGCCAGAATGAAACTGCTGTCACAAAACTGATTTCCGTCTTTCTTTCCGTTCTTTGTGTATATCCTGTTCGAATACGATAATAAAACTCGGTAAACTCAGCTCTGGTTTCGATACTTGGCGCGTCTTCACCAGTGTCTATGTACTCCGTGTACTTCCAGCTATATATAAACACACAGCTGAATAAGTGCAGTTGCGAAGCAAACGCATCCACAACACTACAGGACCTATTTATCTACAATCGAGTGGAGTAGCACTTTATTACTGCAGCATCACTAACACTAACACTGTCACCATACCTATTGCTAATATTCGATTAATCGAATCAATTATTTTGCTCGGAGCTACGCTCTATTTTCACTTTTTCTCTATTTCTTTCATGTATTTTTTACTCAGTTTATCACAGACGATAAGTAGGTATGCGAATTATAAAAAAACGTTTGATTGTCTTTGATTTATTTCACAACCAACGACGACATTCTGCAGTATTGTCGCTAAGTCACAAACGATTGGTCAGCTGTACCTATATTTAATACGCTTTACTTTGATGTATCATTTATATTAATTTTTAGCCGGAAAAGCTCTTTTAACGTGTTTATTCTATTGACCAACTCTCAGTTTACAGTTATTAAATTTTTATTTGAGCTTTTATCGATCAATACTAAAAACTTTAAATAGATCATCATGCCTTAGTTGCTATAAAGAATTTGTTCTACGATTTCATCACTTGTTACATTTTAATATATAGATAAATTATATATCAGATAGAAAAAAACACGACTTTTTTCATGGAAGATTTGAAAAAAATTGTAAGTCTTCTAGTCAGTGAAAATAAGAAAACAAAGGTAGAAATTTGAAACAATTCAGTTCAAAAAATCAGTAACCATGCCTTTGATCCAAATTAACTTGAAATGTAACAAATGGCTTTCCCATTAAAGTAAAGAAAAAAGTAAGAAAAATAAAAAAAGTTTAAAATACGTTTTTAGTAAAAACCTACAAATCTCTTATTATGAATCATTCTTCTTTATCACAAAAACTTGAAAACATAATAGTCTACATTAATTAATAAAGTACAAAAACTGTATACGTTCCCTTATTAAAAACTATTCAAAAATTGTTGTATGAAGAAATATTTACTAGTAATTCATTTAACAGAAGTACTTTGACGTTAAAGCTCACTTTTTATTTGACGTTGACCAAATAGTAAGAATGAAATGAATTGAAAAGCGATGTGATGATCAAAAATTTTTATAAATACATTTATGAAAGTGATTAGCCGAGAATTATCATTGTACGTCTTATTATTAGTAATAAACTCATAATTTTCACTGCTAAACATGCAGGACATATTGAAACGAAAAAAAAATGCAAAGCTGAATCTTCTAAACTTTTAAGTATTTTACGGGGGTAGTCTAGTTTATCGACCAAAAAAAAGTGTCTTTACGAATTTTTGCCAACAGTCTATGATAGATATTATTCTAAATCTTTTTTGACTAATAAAGGCACTATTGAAGTTCACAAAAACAATTTTTATATAACTTTTACGGTACATTTATGTGTATAATACAGCCATGTATACAGGTATGAAAAAAAAACAGGTCCGCATGGTTCCAGTGTTATAGCAAGAACGAAACAACTGAACTACAAAATAAGGTATACCTTTTATTCATTAACCCGTTTCGGGCCAAACGGACGAAATTTTAGTTATTTTTTCATTCGCTGTAAACTCTGTGAAAAAATTATGTGAGAAATGTCAGAATAGTCATAACCGACGTAAAATTTTATGAACTTTTCGAATCCAGCGTCAGAATTGTTAAAAAAGTTGATGTGTAAAAGTTATGAACAATTAAACAATAAAAAACACGATTTTTTGAAAAAAAAATTTGATTTGATCCGAATTTTCGAGTCGAAACAGACTTGCTCTATAGGTCTAACACGTTTTTTTTGCGTCCATGGGGTGTAGACTTAAAAGTCCAATAGTTACGATATCGAAATTTAACATAGCGGACACGAAAATGGCGCTTCGTAGAAAAAAACCGTATATGAATGTAGTCAATTTTTTTATATGTCAACCAAGCGCCTAGGAACAAAACGTTATAGAGAAAATGTTGAATTTCGATATCGTAACTATTGGACTTTTAAGTCTACACCCTATGGACGCAAAAAAAACGTGTTAGACCTATAGAGCAAGTCTGTTTCGACTCGAAAATTCGGATCAAATCAAATTTTTTTTCAAAAAAATCGTGTTTTTTATTGTTTAATTGTTCATAACTTTTACACATCAACTTTTTTTACAATTCTGACGCCAGATTCGAAAAGTTCATAAAATTTTACGTCGGTTATGACTATTCTGACATTTCTCACATAATTTTTTCACAGAGTTTACAGCGAGTGAAAAAATAACTAAAATTTCGTCCGTTTGGCCCGAAACGAGTTAAATGACTGGCTATGGCTAGAACTAGGATTTTAATTTTTGGGTCAAAAATAACAAAATGGCGGTCGTTTGAACAAAAGGCTACAGAATAACCTTTTTCGTCCCGACGGCCAAAACGAAAAAGTTAGTTTCTGCTGGGGGGATTCATAAAAAATAATGTACGCACCAATGAAGCGAAAAAGAAAGCCTCAGAGCACATGTTTATGAGCCTCGGCTTCGCCTCGGACGATACTTACACGTGCTCTGAGGCTTTTCAGTTTTTCGCTCCCTATTCACGTAATATACTATTTTCCATGTAAAAAATAGAAAAAATTTGAATTTTGACATAATCCCAGTTTCAACTATACCAATATATGTATCAAATATTTAGTTAAAATTTCAGACCTATCGATCGAGTAATTTCGAAAAATGCGTTCAAACTTTTTTTATAAACATTATTATAGGAATAATATGAATAAATAAATCTCGGTTTGATTTGAAATTTTAACACAATAATTTTAGAAATGCATAAACTAGACTAGCTCCTTAAGTCCCGGACGAAATTTCTAACAAGGAGACCACATGAGATGCGGGTCACCAAATGTTCTGAAAATTTTTTTCTGGTCTCTTTTAAAAATCATTTTCTAGTTTATTGAAAAATCTTTGTGATTTTCTAACTCGTAATAGGACATTTTAAACGGAAAATTGTACAATGTACAAGTCTCAGAATTAGTCAAAGAATACATTTGAATTTTTTCAGAATTTTCGAGATCTGCTATCACCTATTTTCAAAGGCCCAAATTTAACGCGTTTTTACTTTTTTCTTAAGAATTTCAGAGACCTTTGAAAATAAGTAATAGTAGGTTTCAAAAATTCTGAAAAAATTCAAATGTATTCCTTGACTAATTCTGAGACTTGTACATTGTGCAATTTTCCGTTTAAAATGTCCTATTACGAGTTAGAAAATCACAAAGATTTTTCAATAAACTAGAAAATGATTTTTAAAATGGGTCCTAAGGTCCATTGGATCAAACTAACAAGGAGACCTTCTCACCTTCGGGTCACAGATCCTTGCCAAACTTTTTGTGGTGCTTTAGTACACCTAAAAAACATGTCCCATACTATTAGTTTATTCTCATAGGCCTTGGAAAGCTTAGGAGAAGTCAATGTATGAATATAATTAAAATAATTGAAATAAAGCGCATTTAATATTCATTTTTCTACTTAAAACTATTTAAATGACTTTTTTTGGGCCCCTGAAACTTGAGATCATTATATGTTATTGTTTGAAAATTATCGGATTTCATATACTTATATGAGTATAATGAATTTTTTAAGCGTTTATAGTCATAAAAATTAAAATTAAGCACTGTATAATACTACAATTTAATAATATGGCGAGTTTCATAGCATTATAAGAGATCCGACAACTTTAAAACAATAACATATAATGATCTCAAGGTTCAGGGGCCCAAAAAAAGTCATTTAAATAGTTTTAAGTAGAAAAATGAACATTAAATGCGCTTTATTTCAATTATTTTAATTATATTCATACATTGACTTCTCCTAAGCTTTCCAATGCCTATGAGAATAAACTAATAGTATGGGACATGTTTTTTAGGTGTACTAAAGCACCACAAAAAGTTTGGCAAGGATCTGTGACCCGAAGGTGAGAAGGTCTCCTTGTAAGCATAGGGGGCTTTATTATTAGATACCAGGAGACCAGAAAAAAATTTTCAGGACATTTGGTGACCCACATCTCATGTGGTCTCCTTGTAAGTAAAAAAACAAATTTGTACTTAAAAGTGTAAGTGAAATGCTTATAAAAGCAATAAAAAATAACTATTAACAGATAAAACTTAAAAATCACTTTTTCCGTACTGAATTTTTTGAGATATTTAGCCCTTCAAGTTTCACGGTGATTTTGTCGGTGAAAATTGCATATTTCGAAAAATTTAATAATACTATCGAAAGGCCGAGAAAATTTCCTATCGAATACAGTAGTCAGTTTATTTTTTGGGATGAGTTTTGATACTTTTTTAGTCCCTTAGAAATTAAGTGAATTGTCGTATTTATGTGAAAAAATGACTTTTCTGCCTCTAAAACACAAAATTGACAAAAAAAAGATACCTATCTTCAAATTTCACGTTCACGCGTTTTTTCTTATTCTTAGGACCCCTAGGAACAATTTGCGGGGGTTCGGGCTTCTGGGCAAGCAATCAAATATTTCACCTTGTTTTGTTAACGAAACTGTATTTTACTTTTAGATTTGCCCATATACATCGCATATATCATTACTTATTAATTTCAGTTACGATTTTGAATTATGCCCCTTTATGATTTAATCATTTAGTTGATTTACAATTTACAATAAATACGGTCACCCTTTCAATACATGTTTCCAATTAAGTATGATAATAAATTATTAAAAAGTATCAGAATTAGTTGTTTTAGAATTCCCAAGCCTAGTCATTATAGTTTGTAAAATAAATCAATACACTCAAAGTATGAGCGAAAGTTTGCATGGACTTAGGAATTATTTTAAACTGCTCACGAAGATAAATAAATTGACGTAATCATAAAATACTTGATATATCTTGTCGAACTAATTTTTAAAATAAATGAAATATATGTATATTTCATGTGTGCACTATCGTGTTTATCGAAAGGAAAATTGCTGCATCAGCCTGGCGTATACAACATTCAAGCGCATGTGTGATGATAATGAGGAAAAAATGTATGCACCTCTATTTCTACTCGTCCTACATCCCTTCAATCGACTTGACCGCATTATTACCCGTGCCCTCTCTTCTCAATGTGTCATCTTTCGTATGTTCATCGGATGAACATAAAAATATAAACGTGTCTGATGCTAATATACGATGATAAACGACTTTGAAACTAATATAGTCTTTCAAATGCGTCAGTCAATAAAACGTATATGTTTTTAGGATTATCTGAACATTATTTATATTCATTACCCGAACATGGTCTAATAAATTGAACTTATGGCATCAGGATTTCTATCTCATAGAAAGTTGAAATTTTCCTTATTAGTCCGAGATAATGTCAGTTAATTGCTCATTTTTCAACAGAGAGCTATCATTTAAAATACGTCTATTTTCATTATTTTTACCAATCTAGAAAAAGTCACTTAATCACTGAATCAAAGTATTGTCTTTTAAAAAAATGAACGATTAAAATGAGAAAATGTGTGCCAATGTTTACTTATTCAATATCAGATGTGAATGTAAACATAGTACACACGCATGAGCATGATCTTATCCAAAAATATAACACTCACAAATAAGCACAATCACGCAAGAAGATAAAAACAATAGTGATCGTGTGAGAGGACGAGAAAAAGATAGAAAGAGGCCGCGGCAGCAACCTTTTGTTCAGGGCGTGCTCACCACGCGCGACAGTGACCCATATACAAAGAAGCCTTTCAGCTGCTGATGTCGTTTGCTACAAAGACCGGCTATATGCACTAATTTGCACCCACTATTGGTTTATTAGCCACGCAGGACGTAGTTGCATCATATCTCACGCGGCTTTTTATCGCGTCTGTTGTCAACGTCGACTTTGTCGTCGTCGTTTAGGAAAATTGACGCCCGGTCCCGCGTGCTATTCGCGAGAGATCTTCGAGACTGAATTTCTAAAAGCGTACGAGCTATAGACCAACCCTCAGCGTTTTGCACGCGCCAAGTTTCACCCGCTCTATACAGTAATACAGAAGCGGCCGAAGAGGAGTCAGAGCTACGAGAGCGAGAGTGAGGGAGAACGAGAGAGACAGAGAGGAAGAACAGATCGTGTGGGCGCAAGCGCGTTGTACGGAGGTCCACTGCTGTGCTCGTTGCGTTTACTTGCTCATGTATATACTAGTGAGTGTGCAAAGCGAAGGCCTACAGAGAGAAAGTCCACCCTTAGCTTCCGAAAGAGCTTGCACAGTATAGACTTGATGAAACGATTTTCTAGTGTTTATGAAGCACGAATTATGGTTTTGAGCCATTTTTAACGATAGTAACGATGATTATGGGCAGAATCCTACAAGACGAGTATTTTCAATTTTTTTTATAGATTATTATTAGATTTGAGCTTGAACGGTGCCAATGAATGGAAATGTTGATGCGTGATGCGTCATCACAGGCTTACTTGCAGCTTGTTCAATTCAATAACTTCATTTAAATGGTTTACTTTAATAAAGTAATTAAGATTGATTTCATTTACTTTTAATGCATTTCACAGTCAACAATTTTTCAAAAAATTATCAAGAGAATCATTTTATTAGCTCAAAAGATGAAACTATCAATTTCAAAATAAGATCCAAGTTCCACATAGATTGATTGATCAAATCATTAAAACTCATCAATTTCAATAACTTTATCAGGATATAAGGACCGTTAATCATGATTTTATACGAATACGAATAATATGTATGTACAGAATTCTAAGTGATAATGGTATTTTGAATTTCGCGATTCACTCTCAGCATTTTGGCATTTTTAAATGTTTACTTTTCAATGACTTGCTCACTCTAGAAAAAAACAAAGGTTCTGTTGTGGCTATGTGCCGATGCAATGAACTATATATTTTATTTTTTCGCGGACTGTTTAAAAAAAATGTTATTTTTCATTGAAGTTTTCGGTGCGTAAGCCCAATAACTCGTTCTAAATTATCTCAAGCGAAAGTACTTTGTAAATATATGCGTAAACATCTATTTATCATTTTTTGAAAATTGTTTGCTTAGCTTTCATGAGCAAATGCCTTTTGAACAATGGTTTTGTTCTCATAAAATTTAAATTCTCCGATTAAAGCGGATAACTAAAAGCATTCATGTATGTACAATGTTAGAGGAATTTATTATGATTGAAGTTCATTCAAGTATTTACTTTGACAATGTATCCGCTTACTCCGAGAATAATTCAAACTTGTGAATTCCGAAACAAAAACAAATTACAGTCAGCATCTCATTTGGTAGGCTTCAAGCAAATTATAGCTCACATGGTTGTAAAAGACTAAAAATTGTTTGCAAATAATTAGATGACCTAGTTTTGCAAAAGTATAAGGCATGTTGTATGCATGTGTATAAAAAAAAAGAAAGATAAGAAAGAAGTAAAAGTAGCGGTCTCTCGAGATATGGAAGATCCCATCTTTAGCCTGTTCATGTTGGGAGATGAAAGAGACGAGACTGCTTCTCAGTCAACCTCTTAATGATTCACACACGTGTTGATTTAATACAGCGGAGCAAAGCCCAACCCAACGCTGGAGAATAACACTGGTTATTGTTACAGGCAATGAGTATCAAACAGTCCACGTAATAATCTTAACAGTTGAGTTCAAATTATTTCGATTTGATTGTGTTACGAATAATCTTGTCGTTCTAAATAAAACTGGCTGATTTTTTTCATTATGGAGAAATTACCTGTTTCTCCGTTTCTAAATTGTCTTTCTGTGTCTTGCAAAGGGCCATCATCAGCTAGCGTTTTCTTCAAGCAACTTTCAGGATCGTCTGGAATTAAAATTTCATCAATGTTGAAATATTACATTTTTGCTCATTTTTCAAACAATTTATTTATAAAATAGTAATTAAAATAATCTGTATTTATATTTAATTTGTGAAAATATAGTTTTTAAAAATGGAATTTACAACTGGTCAAGCCATAGTAAAAAATTAAATAACTATATCTGATTCTTGCATCAAATTATGCTAGGCTTTTTTTTAAGTAGTGATTTTTTTATAATAAAACATAAAAAATGTTAAAAGGTACAGGAAGTTTATTGTAAATCTTAGATCTGTACATTTTCAGCACCTATCAAAAGTCTATGATCATCATACAATATCGTCAATGTTGATTTCTTCAATAAATCTCTATTATTCATATAAAAAACAATTTAGAAAAATCAGTATGAATATTTTAAAAATGAAAAAAATGTTTACATACTTCAATTAGATCATAAGTATGATTCAAATAATTCATACAAAATTATATAAACTTACAGCATCTATTTATACTATCATTAAATTTGTAGTAAAAATATAATAGGACTTATTATAGTATTCTAGAAAATTTAACATTCCATAAATATTTACATTTCAGTCTTTTAACATTGAAATCATAAAAAACTAATTTCAACAGTAGATAAAAGTACTATATGTTATTGGAAAATTTAACTAAATTCTGTTGAGCAATTCTCCAAATTTTCACGACTTTTTCTATCAAGATTCTTAACAATATGAGCTTTAATTTCCTGTGGTAAGCCCTGTAAACAAGGGCTAGCAACACCAAGTTCCATTATCATTTCACTGTGGACGTGGGCAAATAATTCATTTTTAAACCTGAGAAATATATTCATGTAGTTAATATCGTTATATATATAATAATATTTTAAGCTAAATATTGGGTATTTTGATATCAAACCAACCTCATTGATAATTCTTTCAAGTGCCAATAAATTCCAAGATCTCTATTGAATAAATTGACGTATTTTGGAACTTGAATTGACATGGTTCGTGTCTTACACCTTGTAGTAGTACCTTTGGGTACTAAATTAATTAACATCCAATCTCCAAGTATTATAGCTATTATACTGCATGTCACTTCTTTTGTGTGATATAATATAAAATCTATTTTGTAGGCATTAATGTCTGGCAATTTATAGTCTCTTAGCAATGGAATGTGTATTCTTTCTTCATTCCATTTACTGAAAATATATATAATTTTAGTAGAATTAAATATCATTGGCAAGTAGAGAGACAAAATTGCAATGCATACCCTGTTATTGGATTATATAAACTAGCTACACGATATCCATTTTCTGACATGATTGTGATAAAAAACGCAAAAAGATAATCATTCTTATCTGCATTTTCATTTAATTTTGACACTGCCTCTGCTAAATTAGGTGATAGATATGAAAGTTTACTGTCTTCGGCGAAGCTTGGTTTTTCCATTTTGCACTACTCTTGGTAAAACTAACCTATCAAACTGGACGAAGTTTCAAATGCTTTTGCGTCATTTTAAATGTGTATAAGAGCGTTACTCACATTTTAAAGTGATTATTGTAACGCTTTGCTATGATCATAAAATTCACGGTAATGAAATCGTATGAATAAATCACTCTCACTTTGATTGCGATACGCAAATGTCATCCTCGAAATCTTCAAATTGCGTCAAGAAAACTCAGAAAGGTCCAAAAAAAAGTGAACTTTAACGCCATCTGTTAATCGATTTCACAGTAAAAAGAAAACATCAGCTGTGTTCGCGGGTAGTTTGAAGCTAAAAATATCTATCCAAACTGTAAATGGTAAATTGTTACTTTTAATTTTAAATGTAATCTTTTGAGGATGACATTGCCTTTGAATGTTCTTCAAGGTATGATTTTCAAAAGTTGATTTATTCTTTTTTGAAGCTGATTTTTTTTAACTCAATTGAAAAGTCATTGGTTGTAGGTGAGATGTCGTAAAAGTAACTAGATAAATTCTAAAAATGTACTGCTTCAAAAATGTCGATCTTGAAAAACACGCATCCCCAATAATTTCTTCATACATAACGCGAGCGTTTGATGCATTCACTTGAGCAAGGTAAAGACAATCACGTGCAAGTACACAGTTATAGGTGGTAAAACACGCGATGGGCTTGCTCAGCATACATCCATACAACTCGAGCGTGCGTGTACGCAGAGAAAGTTTTGAAGCTGGAGACGGAAATATGCAAATTTCGCTAGTGTGCGGTTCATATACAAGGTTGATTTTTCTTATAGGTGCTTTGAGCAGAGTGTTGTGTGCGGCTATCCTGATCGTCGTTGCATTCACAGTACATCAACGGCTACATAATTACAAACTGGTTTTCGATGTTATGTTTTGGAAATTTTGCGTTTCTACTGTGAGTGGGTGCGCACATGAGTAATTTTTAGTTATAGTCGTCCAAATACCAAAATTGTTGACTTTCCAATGCGTCATTTGGAGGAAATGAACATGATCAAGTTGCGCGTATAATCGGTCGTCGATTGTGGTAGTTTTGCAGTTGCGTCAATCAGTTTTACGCGACAAGCGTAAAAGTTCTCACATAAGTAATATTCATAAAATATTCATTAAATATATATACAAATATTTCGCTTATGGCATTCGAAGAAACTATAATACGTTATAACGACGACGATTGCAGTGCTTATTTTAAAATGGCTTCGCGCACTAATTAAGATAAATACAGTTAGGCAATGCTTCGTTAAAGATCGCGCCTAGGCACATGCGCTAGCTGCTTATAACATTTGTCTACGTTGTGTACAAAGTACTTGAGTGCAACGATACGCTAGCTGCCACAGAAACACACATTCTCGAGATGTTTTCAAATTTTTCCCGTGCCAATGCTACTGCCTGGGAAATAATGCAGACTGACCGACGAGTGCAATTAGGATGCGACTGGTTACATGAAAAAAAAAAAAAAAAATAATAATAATAATAATAATAACACGACGAGAATCACGTGCAGAGAGTTGAATAGAATCACTAGAAGTTTCAACTATGTAGGCGGCCTATACATGTTGAGTCGTCTTGCTGCAAGTAATGCATAAAGCGGCATGTGATCGACGCTCTTTTTCCCTCAGCCTTCCTCGACGTGTGAGATGCCGAAAAAAGGTGCGGTGCACGCCCAAACTATGACCAGATCAGCTCTGTTGATCGCAATGCATACTTACCTGAATCAAATCAATGCGAGCACCTTTTAGCCGTTTAACCTAAAAATACGCTCTAACGCGACCACAAGCATGTTTTTAAGCAGTTTCATAAAATTTTGTTACTTTTAATAACGCTTTATTGAGTGATGCACGGGCCACGCTTGTGCTCACAATGGTTAGGCTTGATTTTTCAAAACGAACGCCTGCTCGATGCGTCGCAGTCGTCATGCGTAAACGCACTGCATTTGACAATTAAAGTAGCAGATACTTATGGGCAGTAGTCGATTTGTTCGAGGCGTTCGCCATCAGGTCAGACGGTTTTCGCTGACATTCCTGGCTTTCAAATTCGCGCTACCTTCGTGTAACATGTAAGTTCGCGATATGTACGGTACATTTTGTACAAGTTGTAAATTATCCATACGCGCTAACCTTCGTTTATGGTCTCGAGCAGGCCGGTAACTGCAGGTTCCTCGTCCTCGGGCTCGCGGGGTTGAGTTTCTTGAAGCACTGGTACCTCGGCCATAATTTTCCACGAACCTACAATACACTGCGTTGTATTATTTTACACTATTTTCACTTTGGCGATGCACTTGACTCGCGATGCATTCGAAATACGAGGTACCGAGACTCGAGCAACTTTTTGACGCTCACCGATGAACACGAATCGAGTCGATGTTTGATCACTGCCCAAATACATTGGGATAGAAATTATAGTATCACTACATCACTACCTGTATCTTTATTTATCCGAACTCGTTATAATTATACATGCCTGTATGTACGAACTACGTGTAAGTGTTGTGTGCTGGCTTATATATTACATTTAGCTATATATATGAATGTATGAATGTGTGAATATATACATACACATATAGATAGAGATTTATATATGTATGTACATATGTGTGTATACAGTCAGGTAAGTATATACAGGCGTACATATATATGGCAGCCTTGTTTTGTCGAGATCTTGCCGCCGCTACCAACTGCACATATATAGCTGACCGCTGGTTTCAATCTTTTTTATCGCCACGAGCCACTTGTTGCTCATATGGCTAACGTTGCCCTCGTGCTTCGGCAGCGAGAAAGAGATGACAGTATGTGTAACGAATGGAAAGGTATAAGAGAGGTGGAAGACACACTACTGCCTTATATGCATGTGGTGCACTGCAGCGTGTACGGCAACACACAAACAAAAATCATAATAGGAATATTAGAAAAGACCTGGGACTCGCACGCGGTAAAATGCATCCTGTTATATACTATCATGATGTACAGTGGGTAAGGTAGATTATTAACTCAACTTTCGATGGAATACCGTTGTTTGGCAGAACCTATGTACAGGTGGCAGCACCTCTCGCTTTGACTATTTGCCGCCAAGTCGTGGCTATGTACAAATTTCTTTTTGTTGCCAATAAAACTAATTATTCAATTCAATTTTGCCGCCAAGTCAATATGCATTAACTTTGCAGCCAATACCTTTATGATAGACCAATAAAAATTACATTATATTACATTTGCGGCCAAGATTGCGACGATGTCAGGGGCACATCAGCATCTCGAGATCCCTTACTTGGACATTTTTTCTTACTTTAAGTAAAAAAGTCTACAAGATAAAGAAGCACACATTTCTTAACACTTATACAATACTGGAAATAATTTCTTTGAAAACTATTATAAGCCTAGTTTTCGTCAATGGTTTAAAATTTTTTTAAATATAAACAAGAAAGTTATTTTTACTATTATTTCGATCAAACCACAAATCACTCAAAAAGTGCGTATGTCGATTTAAAATATTCAACATAAAATTGCGACAATCAATCTGAAGCAACAATAAATCATATTTTATAGAAGTGTGGGAAATATGAAAATGAAAGATCAATACTATAATCTATAACACCATTTTTATCATAATTCAACCCAAAAATCTCAAATCGATCTCAGCATTCTTATGTAGTATCAACGAAAAATTACAATGTTTACCTGTTGTAAAAAAGAGGAAAAAAAGAAAAAACTGTTATACGCTAATTTAAGCAGTTGAATGTATAAAATCGAATAAAATAATGATATATAGAGGTATGTTGTATATGTTACAATTCTAATGCTTGTTCCAAATTAACTCTAAATTTTTTGTTCTATAGTGTTTTAATGTATATTCTACTCTAGTTTCTTGAACAATTATGTAATTTAGGCATTTGTATTTTGCAGTTCATGCCATATGTTAACAACGAAATGGCTATGTATCTTATGATGATGCCAATAATGTACAAAATATTATAATAGCCATCGAAATTTTTACTTATTAAAAAGTAGGAAATTTTATCGCGTATAATGAAACAATTTTAACATAAAAGAAAGTTAAAATACTATAAAAATACAATTTATTGTTTTTTATACTTAAATTTTACATCAAGTCATTCCAAAATACTGTATTTTCTGAAATCACATATAATCGATTTCTTTGTTTTTAACGAATAATTCAATATTTCATGTGTTGACTATAATTAACATGTTTAATATTTAAAAATTTGATTTTAAAAATATGACCAGAGAAAATAGTTGATGAATGTGTTCATAACTACTTTTAATAATTTACGAATTTAATAAGGAAATTTTTAATTTCGCTCAACAGTTATTCATTACGAGAATTTTAATAATTAATAAATTAATTGTGAGTTAAAAGCTTTCGGCTTTATGTATTTGAACTTACGAAACAGTTGCTAAACAAGCTTGTAATTCGATTTAAATGGATTATGTCTGTATAATTTACACAGTAATATTTTGAACATACTCATGATGTTCGATCTTAAGAAGTTCAGTAATACTTAACTAGTAGTAGTAATTAGTACTCCTGTATAAAATGTCATAGTTTTAAGAGCCGATTATTATATTCAGTAAATTAAACGAAACTATGTGAAAAAATTATATCATTTTTAAATTTCTATGAGAGCTGTAACCTTTGGACACGCTATACTTTACGATTGTATAGATTTTCGGATTTAACGGATCCGTTTTTCTCATCGATGTATATCAAACTTCGAACATTTTCCGTCAGACATTTCGATACTTTCTACAAAACTTTTTGCACTTTTGTATTGTAATTGCTTTACTGCAAATGTTTTTTTTTTAAATAAAAAGTTTTTACTTTGCTTCGTATAAAAGTTCAGTTGAGATATTGGGGGAAGAATAAAAGCTCAACCAATACTTTACTTTTTGATTTTTCTCGTCGAATCATGATTCTCTTCTTTTGGATAACATTAACTTGTAGAAAAAAATTAATCATTCAAAATACAGTAGTAATGAAATTATGAGTACACCAGCGAACTTAGATACTCGGACCTCGAAAATGTGCAATCGATTAGTCGCTTCCTTCACAAATGCACGTCGTGAACCGTAGTCACGCGCTGTTGTTTAAAAAACGTGAAAGAAGCGACTAATCGATCGCAAATTTTCGAGGTCCAAGTATCTAAATTCGCTGTACATTAGTAAAATACAAGGTTTTGAAATAATGTTTTCTGAAAAAAAATTAGAATGTAATAAAATTTTTCTTTCCATTTATGAAAAGTTTCTGCTATAACAAAGAGATTGAGTTTAATTTTACAAAGAAATTTTCCAAGCACTGCATTGACTCAATTTTTAATTCTTTGATCTTGATAAAACGTTCGTAGACTTACTAGCCAATTTCGCAGAACTTCGATTAGCGTTATTGAGATATTGGTTCAACATTTCAGGTGGTAGCATTATCACATGCGAGGAAGAGTGTTGATTATCATTTGACGATTGTGTAAAATTCTTTGAAGGTTTAGAATTTGTTACTGAAAATGTAATGATCGTTTGAAAGATAAATATTTTTCACAAATTTTAAAATAAAAAACTATTATTTACTCGGATATGGAATTTCCGAGGAATGAGAAAAATGACTGGTTCGAGTTTTAGAGGCCAATGTCGACTGCGGGGATGATTCTTTAACAGGTGAAGTGGCTGGTGATGTTTTTTCATGAGATTTTTTGTTCTTTATTCCTGATATTTTTGTTTTTTGATACTCATCTAAATATAATAAAAACTCTCTGTACGTCACGTAATTCTGCAATGTTGAGAAAGATGAAAAACGAATCATATAATAATATTGGGGAATATTATACATTCATGTAGGCGTACTTTATCTTCACCAGCCCAATTCCTGTTTGTTGGTTCAGTTAATCCGAGCAGATCTATCCAGTGGTAATAATCTTCTGTTTGATTACCATACCAGTACTTGATGATAACGAAACTGTAATTCACAATATAAGCTGACGTAAGCATGAATTTCGGAATATGTTCATAACAATTTGTTGCATAAGTGTCATTGAATGCGATTGCCAACATATCAGTATACTTGAAAACCTCAAGAGACGCGTGTATAATTTTCTTTCAATTAATCATATTATACTAGACTTACGCTAAACCATCGTCAACCATTTTTTGAATTTCTGTATACGACATAAGCTCCATAAATTCCGGGTTCTCAGGGTTTCTCTTGACGTCAACAAGTTGCCATGGAGCTATTAAGCCAAACCTAATGCATTTCATAACTTCCAGCAAATGTTGTTTTCTTCCTTCCCAGTCATGCATAAGCCATCTAACAGCTGACATAAGTACTTCCATTTCACTGGGGAGATAAAAATATGAACTGTCATTATATACAAGCCTCCTAATAAATTATTGTCTTTTTATCGATGAACATTTCGACGCCCCTTACGAAAAGTAGGAAGTTTATGTGTTTACTTAAATGTAAACTTCCTACTTTTTATATGAGGCGTCAATTTATAGCACCTTTATTGCGAAAAACGTGTACCTGTTGACGCTGATATAATTTGAACGAAGAAGTAAACAGAGTTCCCCTACTGAGAGCTCTAAAAAGTCACTTGAACTGACGAGCATCAAGAAAAATTTCATGATCCGAGGGATCATGAGTTCCATTATAGCAGTATTTCCTATTTTTCTAGCTTCTAAGTAAAGTAAAAATGCTGTATCTTCGGAAAAAAGTTCTTCGTTGTCGATGAAAGCCCAACACTGTTCTTCCAATTCTTTGACACATCGTGACAAGGAAAATTATAAATTACAAAAATTTTGCCTACGTGTTTTTTTACATTATTTTTTCATTTTTAATTTTTTTGTAACAACAAAAAAAAATTATAAAAATATATAAAAAATTGATTCACCTTTGATTTCGAGAAATTGTGCAGCTAAAAAAATCTCAAGTATGTTATCCCTGAGCAAAAGGTGGTAGCTATCGTTTGTTGGACATATCATCCAGTCGTAGATGATCGAAAAGCCTTTCGAAGTAACGCAACTCTGTTTTTTGTTATTTTGTGTTTGATTGTGAACTTACAATAATACGCTTTTTATATTATATGTATATTGTATATGGCTCCGATATAAATGACCCATTATGTGCAGCTGTTGCGTTATTACTTGGTTCTCATAGTAAATTATTCGTGTCTACATTGTATGGGTAAAACTCAGAACTTTTTTAAATAATTGAGCAAACTTTTGGTACTCTTTTGAAAAATATAATAGTACTTTACGATACAAGTGCCAAAAAATGCCCCCATGGCACAAGTATCTTACTCAATTTTTTAACACCGCGTGCGCGAAACACGGGCTTTCTAACCTTAAAGCGTCAGAAAACCCTAGTTTCTCGCAAGCAGAGTTAAAAAATATCGTTTGCAACTAGTCCGCGAGGAAGTTGACTCACCCAGGAGTCTTTGCACCCTCGCTACGCTCGGGTGAAAACAACTCCTAGATGAGTCAACTGCTTCGCGCACTTGTTACAAAATATACTATTATAGCACTGTGCTAAATTCACATTTACTTTTCCGATGCATAAATCACAGTTTCTGGTAACGCGAAGTAAAGTTAGCGCACAAGCGTATGCGAACATGATGCGACGTCATAAGCGACTTATGTGGCAGAAAAGCGTGTCATACATGTGAACTTATGCCAAGCAGTGCTACAAAATCAGTTATAAAACCTAGATTCGAAGTCCCAACATGGCTCCAGAAAGCCAAAAATGAGATCGACGTACGTTTTAAAATCTACTCGGAAGCAATTTTTAACCCGGAGGGACAAACCGGTGGTAAATCTTTTAAATTAAAAAACATAAAAATTTAATTTTAATTTTGAATTTTTTAATCTTAAATGTCTTCCTAAAATGTGGAAAGAGGTAGACCTTTTTTTTGACTCTCAACCGTTCAGTTTTTCATTTCTTTTATTATAGTGTCTTCAAGAAAGTGACTCTAAAATATTTTTCACAGAATAGCAATAAAATGAGTAACAGAATAGCAACGTTTGATTATAAATTCAATAAAAATTTGTAGCAAAAATATAAACTTACTTAGTACCTGTACGATTGCATTTTGTGTAAAGCTTATCAGAAGATTTTTCACCAAAAAAATGAAACGTGCTTAAAATATTACGTATGCAAGCAACGGGATTGGATAAATTTTTGCTCTAGTTTATAATTAAAGAAAAATAGTGAAGCAAGTGGCAAAGCCACGCAAGAAAAATGAAAAAGAATACCAAGAAAAGTTAAGTTCAAAAGTTATTTTTTGGCCCTTCATTATTTTTCATTTCTTTTAAAATCTTCGCCAGCAACGTGATACTAAATACTTTCTTTCTTTATTACTTGATCTTTCGAAAAGATTCATCAACATAATGCCTTCGTGAAGTATCGACATATGAATCGAAAAAATAAACTAGGAATGATTAGGACTCTTGTAATTTCTTTTATGCACAAAACCACCTTATTTGCGTCTGAAATCTTTCACAGTTAATGACTTTGTTGTTCAAAATAAAAAAAAGGTGATTTTGTTTAAGGTCAATGTGAAATTCTGATTGCACTCTTGACTCCGTTAAAAATAAAGGTAATTTTATTCAAAGATTTCTTCCGTTTTTTTTTTATCAAATAACCAAAAGAATCATGTAATAAGCACTACAGCTGCATATCAAATTTCAGTTACAAGTGATTTTAATTGTAATATTTTTTTTTCAATCATTTTTATTGTGTATTGATGATTTCAAAACATACCTCTGTTAAATCGACGATTTTTGCATTTTTAGAATCGAAAAATGCGCTATAGCATTGCAGCACCAATAGATGGCAGTGGAATTCATTGTTTCCGATGCGAACTATGCAATCAGCATTTCTGTAAATGAAAGTCGCATCTATCATATCAATCGTTTTTTTCTTTCATTCATCTGACAATTAGATTTGTATTCAATGCATTTTTATTGACTATAACAATTAAAAATGAACATTGCGATTGTTTATAATTCAAGAGTTTTTACAATTACTTGTAAGTTGTTATGCGTCTTAGAAGCTCGTGAAGAAGATTTGTTTTATCTGGAAGGTGAATACGTTCCCAATCGATTGGTTGTTCATACGTGAATCCTAAGCTAAATACAAATTGGGAAATATTAATCAGGCGAAAAGAAGATAAAGCGTATTGTGGAAATCACGATTGATAATACATCGAAAACAATTTTCATTGTATTTAACGATAAATGAGCACAAAAAACATAATGGAAAATCTTACGTGGCTAAAGAAATATTGGTAAGAGCAGTTGGCTTGTAAGCTTGACCGTAAGTACTACATGATCCACCTTCAAGTCTCTTCTCTACATCTTTTTGTTGTTGTTGACGCTGTTGCTGCTCTTGCTGATGTTGTTGTTGTTGAACTTTTGTCCCATTGACGGGCTGGGTCCGAGGTCTTATACTTTTATTGGTCGACATCATAGGTTGCCGAAATTCGGACTGCTCCGGTAGCCTACGTTGGACTTGTAACCGCTCAAGCGTCGAATTTTTCACTTCGAATGCCAACAACTGTGGTAATTCGCCCGCATTCATAACTAGACTACCATTTTCAGAGCGATGCTGATTTTCAGCTTTCGTAGCAACTTTAGAATTGCACGGCTTTGCGATCAAGGTGCTCACTTTTTTCGACTCAAAAATCACCTTTATGGGAATTTTCAAAATAAAAATTCAGATCGTAGATTCAAGTGCAAATTATTTTCTCTTTAAATATTGGGAAATTCATCATTTATATGATTTGTCAATGCTCATTTTATTTTAAATTAATAAACATTCAATAATGCAAGGTTATTTAAATTAAGGTATATAAAATCTGAAAATTTTTTAAATCTAAATCTAATTTTTTGCTTTTCTGGATATAACAAATACAACTTCTTACACTGCTCTGTACATGAAAAAATATCATCTTGTATTGAAACGACATAATGTAAAATGTATTCACAAGATATGGATGAAACTGAGGAAGTTTGTTTCGGGACAGTACTTTCATTTCACGAGTTTCAAAGTTCTAGCTTCAAGTATTTTTTTATACTTTACGTTGCTTTCATTACAGAACACGTGGAACTCATATGTACAGAGTCAACGCGCATTTTTGTGTTAAGAGATAGCATAGATGCTTGCATTATACTAATCCAAATATAACTTGCATAAGAATGTATCTTACTTTGTAAAAATATATATAAATGTATGTAAACGAATAATGTTAAGGCTGAGCTGCATGCGTTTGCACCGTGAGAAGAGTGCCAAATCAAAGTTTTCAGAATGTTTTTATTATTACTTATTACCAACGTTATCACGCACATTCCTTTCAAACGTACCTGGTTAGGTATAACTTTAAGATTGTCACTGGGAGTGGCTTGGAACGGAAAAGCATTTTGGGAGTTATTTGCATTCAAAGAAGCATTGTTAGCCTCATCCTTGGTGGGAAAGTTCTTTTCTTGCTGAAGATGCTGGATTAACATGCCCAATTGTGGCCCGATGTTTTCTGCCCTCTGTTGCTGATGCGACAACTGCTTCCTTTGAGAACTGAAAGTGCAGCGAACGAAGAAGCGAGCATCAAAGCCTCTGAGAAAATAATCGACCATTTTACATGCTTTGAGTTTGCATTATTTACTCGAGGTTTTCAGACATTTGGTCAAAGTTTACACCGGACCAGTCAAAAGTTTTTCGGCTTATCAGTTTGTTTGTGGTCAAGCATGATTCCTGACAAAATCTTTCAGTGGTGTGGTGACGGCAAGCGTCGTTGTTGTTTATTTCGCCTCTCAATACGTTAGCTGGCTTCGTACGATGCTCTCGATCAACCGATAAATCTGCTTTAGAATTGCTCGACCTACTACAGCGAGTTGTTTGAACTTTTGTATCTGTCCTGGATCTCAATCTATAACACAGGCAGTAGCGCAGCAACAGTAGCTACTATAGTTGTAAGACATAACTCAGGCAGCAAAGGCAGCAGCCCAGCATACGAATTCGCATCAAGTCAATCGAAACGGCAAGTTTTTTGTTTGCTGTTGCACAGAGTAAAATTGACTCGTACTGAGCATTGAATTTCGTTCTGCATGTGCACTGTGAAAATTCGCTTACGCACTTGTACGCGCTGTGCAGACATTTTCACAAGATTACAATTTGTCTGACAAAGCTTTATGAATAATTTATTCAGACTTATTGTGTGTCGATTTCTCACTCCCTTTTACAAAGTTACTTTCACGATTCAATGTAATTGAAATTATTATTTGGACTACTGTAATGGAGAAGAAGAGAATAAACGAATGGGAGAATGATGATTATTTACCTAAGCGTCGCGTAACGTGGCGCGTCAGAAGATGATCCAGCCGCATTCGATTGCTCGTGACAGGACTTCCAAGAGACTCTGTTGTGCGAGTAGTTTGGCTTTGCTCGCTCCTTACAGTATAGAACCACGAGGCTACTCTTACTATTGTCCGAGTCGAAGTTAGCAGCGCTGTGACTGCGACGACGACGATGGCGACGATTTCGATGATGCTTCGGCTCCGATGCTTCTTCTGCAAATAGCCAATTGTCTGTACAGGATTCAATTTTATTGCAGACACACATATATATACATTATGCTTATTCCATGCATAGAAGTAACAATAGTGGCCTCATTGAGATTCGATGTAGCCAAGTGAAAGCTCTAACTTCGTTTGCGGTTATTGTCAACGAGTGAGATCGAGCTGTTATGAGTAAACCGTTACTGCCGAAAGTTTACCCGTCGCGTTTCGTGTATCAAGCTTTTCTGCACGGTTAACTTGTGATGCCACTCATTTGGGACTATGCATTTGCGGGCTAGTAAAGTAAATTGAGAAAAATAAAAATATAACGAGGTAAATTGGATTTGTTTTCTGTTTCAACGGCTCGAGGGTTTCGATTACTTATTGAAATAATGAATGAAATCAACTCAAACACTGATTGATGCAGTCGAATTTGCGTCTTCGATATTTTTGTAGTGTTGTCTTAAAAATAATCTAAAAATCTATTGGGTCTATCGTTAATATATTTCGATTATATTATCACACGAGAACCGAATACATCGTAAGTAAACAAATGTTTAAAAATAAATAAAGTACATTATGTGAAAAATCTGTAAAATACTAGCAAAATCATTTTGCTAAAAATACTTTTAAGCACTGAAGTATAAAAAATACTGGTGTTTCAATTCAATCATAACCCGTTAAGAAATGATTAAATTAAATTTTTTTACCTCGAGTTATTTGAGAATAAATTATGTTTGAAAGAAGATCTGCGACATATTAAAATTATGCAAGAGCACGAAGAAAAAAGTCCTTTAATTATGCTTACGTGTTTTTCTGCATGTACAAGCTGCTCCAAGTATTGATTTTTCGTTTACAGCGAGGCTAAAGAAAAATAAAAATATAGAAAAACACTTTAATGAAAATTTTAGTGATTTGCTTTTTTCGCGAACAAATTTATTAGAATTTTGAAAATGAAATATAAAATATTGAGCTGACAAAAGAAGTAAAAATAAACTTTTTGTACTATGATTTTGACGTTACGCTCATTTTTAACAATTGGTTGATTGAATAGAGCTATATTTTATAATTAGCCGAAAAGTTTTGTATAGTTACCTTAACTTCGAGATTTCGTGATTAATTTTGGCGCTTGAATATATAGATTTTATACGAGCTTTTTTCTGATGCTGTAAAAATAACTATTAATAAGCTCGGTCGAATAAGGAAAGTAGACCAAGAAAATGAGTTTAGTACTAAAATTATGAGCTTTCATTGGGTTTTCTCCAATCATTTCGGAAAATTGATATCTATTGAACATGAAATTTATAAAATGCTATGTCTCAAAATAATACCTTGCTTATGTTTTTTTGTACCCAGTGTATATTGTCATATAGTTGTGGAATCTTTTGATTGTTTTGTTCATGGTAAGCAGTACTATGATTGTGATCTGAAATACAATTGATTACCGTATTTTTTCATACTTTTCATCATCTTTCACATTATTTTATTTTAATTAAAACCAAACAGAGAACTTTGACGTGAATAATATTTAAATACATAAGAGTAATGTATGATAATAGATGTTGACTTACATCACTTACGTAATTTAGTTTCCGTGGGCTTGTCTCCGCCACCGCCGTCGACAAAAGCACAAATGTTTCTCACGATTCTCGGAGGTAGTTTGGGGAAAGTTGACCGGCAGTTATTCTCATGTGTCTTACGGAAAACTTTGCGGCAATTTCGTACTTGACGATGTGACCTATATGAAAATAACAGGGTAAATAAAGTTATCAATGTCCCTGTCAAATGGATCGTCTCAAAGTTATGTTAACTTTTTACAGACATTTTTAACAGTCAAATACAGTTGGATTGATTATCTTCTATCATTGTAAAATAGTAATTTTAGTATTAGTATTGTCAGAGTCAAAATCTGAATTCTTTACCTTAGATTTGTAGACAGTTCTGCGTTGGGGTTAACTCCGTTTTCGTTATTTTCTGGGAAATAAGTCTTTGCGAAAGGTTATGTAAGAATATTAATGGACGAAGTGTCTGTAAATTTTCTTCATATCTTACTTTGCAACAATTTAAGTCTCTTTGCATATTACGAGTCACGCGGTTTTTATTGTCAGCGTGCTTTCCTTTGATCAAGCATATCGAGCGTAACGCACTAAGCACTATCTTCGATGTCAATACTGGCAATCGTTGAACATCATAACAAGCGTGGAGTATAAAATTATTATTAAAAATTAGTCTTTTAGCTTAAGTTGAAATTTATGAATAGCTAAATTAACCAAAAAAATATATGAAACATCTGAGTTCGTAACGTGAAATTGTATTTGATTGAATACTTTAGAGAGCCGTAGATAATCAACCTACCTAACAAAAGTAATTTACGAATCTTAATTTTTCTACAATTGGTCTGTTTACACAGTGCGATTTAACAGAAAAATAATAAATAAAATAAAAAATACCACAAATTTCAGTCACTCTTAACACTTCAAGTTCGCGACAAGATTTGTTCACATAAAACCCCACGTCACATGGGAAATAACTGCAATAAGATGATGTAGTCACACTCTATTCTACTTACGGGTAAGTCCAAAGGGAAATTATTCTCTTTCTTGAAGAAATGATTGAAGCAAAAGTATCTTGATAAGGACGTCAACATGAATTTTTCGATCGATTTAAAACATATCCACTTCTAATGTGTGTAATAAAATCTGGAAAACAAATGTTTTAAAATGGATTAGATCTCATATTCGAAAAGTTTCTTGAGATAATGTTTTTATTATACCAAGTGATGTAGATTGTGTCACTTGCGTTAATTTTTTTATTTTTCATAATAACTTCGACAATTTCAAACTTCATAATATTTTTCACAGTACCCTGTAAATAATTTATTTCAAGTTCGCAATATTCAAACGAGCAAACCTTTATAGCTTAAAGTTTTGGTATTGATATATCGATTGTAATTTTGCTAATCAACGTGCCACTTCAACAAAAAATATAAGCTCAAAAAGTGAATAATAGGTTCATATTTCTGAAAAGCAAATCTTTTTCATTTAATATTCGAAAAAATACTGCAATCAGTTTTTAACTAAAAGCTCATTTGCATTACCTTTACGTTTATTCAAGCGATATTCAGTCAAACTCGTAATTTTTATTCGTTCGACAGAAAATTGATTGAAAAAATCGAAAAAAGCTATAATTTCGTATTAAAATAGATAAAAATGACTTAAAATGACTTGTTCGACGAATAAAGTTTGCTTTGAATTGGTAGACCTTTTTTATGTATTAAAGATGAATTGTGAATATCTGTACATTGTATGCATACAAGTACACAAAAGAAAGAAGATTTGAAAACTAGGACATGAACGTGGTATGCAAGAGGTGCAGCGAGAGAGAGAGAGAGAGAGAGAGAGAGAAGCGGCGTTGAGTGTTTATTCGTGTTTTTTAATAAAGCTAATAGCTTTATAAAAGAATAAGAATTGTAAAACACGAAAAACTTTGCTGAAGAAGTTTGATCTACATCAGTCGCAGTATTTCTTACTTTTATAAAAGTGATGATGGCAAAATTATGTGTCTGCTTCTATGATTAATCGTTGAATGTACGCGATCCTAGATTGTTTTTTACTCCGCCCTTCCCCCTTGAAAAAAATTTTAATTCAATCAAAGAGTAATGTCGCGAGGAAGCATGGAGATATTAATTACTAAGCAGGTAGCCTTGAATAAAATAGCGCGACGCTTCTACACGTCATTTGGCAACATCTACATGGTAAAGAATCATTTGTGCTACGAGGGAAAATACTTTTAAACGCTTGCCCACGCGATGGGATCGAACCATAAGCGACTTTATAACTCCTTTCGGGAATTCAATTTATTTCCAACAGAATTCCATCAACTTAATATTATGGGTTAACATTTTTTTATTTTCGACTTTCAAACCCTAAGTAAATTTATTTCACAGTGGAATTTGTTATGTTCTTGGATAAATCGATACTCTGACTGTGAAGAAACAAACAAACTTACGAGCTAGTCTCTTTCCTCGGTATCTCTCGTTTTCTTTTCGCTCTCTTTGCCAAAAACAAAAAAAAAGTCCTCGATGTTCGACAAACTCGCTCGGCTTAAATCCAAGCCCAGTATCGAAAAATTAAAAGGCAAAGAGAGCGAGAGCTTTGCGTGAGCTGTAGCCGTGTCCGAGTGAACATATATACATGTATATACGATACGAAGCTCCATATACATTTAATACGTGTACGTGCAGGTTCGGAGCAAGCACATAGGAGCGAGCTATCGCCGGGAGAGCAATATATGCAAGAATATAGCTGGCGCTGCTGAAAGCGAGAGAGGGAAGTTGACTCGGAGTGGGTGGCTTGGCCGGCTTCCACAGGCTGCATCGATCGCCCGCGGCGCGCTTACTCGCGTCCTGGTGACCTCGACCCAATGCCACCCCTGCTGCGGCTGACGCTTGCACGTAGCCCGTATACATATATACCGCCGCCGTGCGCGCGCGAGAGAGCCGCGTACAGCCAGAGCAGCAGTGGCAGTTGGAACACCCCCGTCGCTCGCAAACCTCGCTCCGCGCTCCTATCTGTTTCTCTTTCTCGCGCACGCCTTCGCCGACGGGCAATATAAGCAGATCGCATCAGGGTCACACATACACTAAAAGCGCCCGCGCACATATATACGCGAGCAAACTTGCAGATGCTTGCGAGCTTCCACTTGGAAAGATGGATTTGTTTGCGCGATTGGCAATTCAACTTACGCTTCGTTCTACGGCTTTTCTTATACCCACCCCCCCTTATATTCATCCTTGTTATTCGCATTTGTTTTCCCATTTTACGCTTTGCTGAACCAATGAAGGCTTCTTCTCCCAACAATACTGCATTCGTTCGCTGAATCGCGGATACATAATAACGAAGAGCTTTTATTACTCGTTGAACATCATTCTGATGATCTGAGCCTAAGGGAGTGTTTCGTCAAATGTTTGCTTTGCGATCGATGAATCAAGTTAATGTTTCATCAGCATATTATTTAAGTTATGCTCTTATTTAATTTGTGAATTATTTTCAAAGGTATTAGGAAATAATGCTTCTTGATTATAAAAACATCTTTGCGTATGGACGATTCCCAGGGAAATCGAATGTCCAAAATAATTTTTGTAATGATTTTCCAAGTATAAAGATTAGGAGACATCAAAGTGCGTCAAAAACGTATTGAAAAGGGCTGCTGTTCGATAGATTTTAATGTCTTCAGATCGTTATATTTCGAAGCCTATAATAAAAATTTAGCTGGTAGTAGATGCCATTCTGAGGAAGCTTTTTTAAATATTATTGG